CCCCTCCTCCTCCTCTTGATATCTTATCCCAACTCCACCACACAATAAAAATTTCCAAAAATAAAATGATACTTTATAAAAAAATGAGAAGGACAACAACTAGCAGTAGTGTAGCGGTGTGGAGGACCTTTTTGTAATCTTCTGGCGAAAGAGATCAGAAAAGAATAATTACCCTATTGACAGTATAAAACGCCCACTATTTCATCAAATAAATAGTAGTAAAAGGTGGGAATTCGTTTATTTTAATTATTATTAAAATTACTTAAACATGGAAAATAAAACCACTACTCGAGCTAAACCCAAAAAAAAGTTTTGCAATTCTTAATAGCAGAAGAGTGTGTAAAAGTATAGAAAACAAAGACAAGTTAGTTGTGGGAGAAAGAGAGCGGTATAAAAAAGTATTAATTTCATTAGAACTCCAGAACTACTGAGTTTTCTCCTTTCTCAGATTTCAATTAAATTAAATTTACCTCGCCCTAAAAATAGACGCATACTTATTTCATAGCTGAAACCAATTAGTAAACTTTCTATCGGCTATTCCAGGTCATGACTATTTCTAAAAGAACTATTCAAACATAAACGGATTCATCAATTAAATTATACAACAGCTAGTTGAATTTAAGACGTTTGAATCCAATAACTCAAAAGAAATGTCGAAAATGAAAATTTGGCAATTGTTTTGCCAGTTCTTAATTTCAAATGCATGCCATCCTATTAAATTTTATATTTATTGGTTGAAATACACCCAAATTGGCATGAGAACGCTGACGCAGAAGTCGAATCGCATACTAAGCAAATCAGGAGTAACAAGATCAAGAGCCATCAGAACATAATTATTGATAAGAATGACAAGCCACCTGCCTCTACTGACTAATATCGATTAATAAACAAATAGCAAAATGGTCTAAAACAAAAAGACCATCGGCTGATAAAAACCATCAATTTAATAGGCTACGAAATTAGTAAATAGAACTGACAAAACCGACCAGACTCGTCGATAGGAACCATAAATTTACCGATCATAACATAACATCTAGTACTCATTTGTCTCATTTTTACAAACAGTTACTTCATGAACCGATGGAAATTTTGAGTGGGCATAACGTTTCGGATATTGCTAACTGCACATTTTGCATTTATATTAGAGGGGTGTGCGATAGACTTACCTCCTCGTGGTGCACCCTGGGCAACGTATACTCATACGGCAAAAAAGTCTATTAACCGGCAGTTGACTTCTGACTTTAAACTACCATCACCCCACTGTATGTCATATTCGACTACTTTACAGTACTCACCTCACCTTTTTCTACCTTTGTGTCTGTCTCTTTACATCTTTGAAACGCCCTTCTGTTCCCCCTCTTGACTTTTTGCCACTTTGATGTTCTTTCCCCTCTGTGAAGCCTGAAGTTAACTAAAGGGCTAATGATAACTATCAAAACGTCTGCCATTCGACATAAATAAATGAATACATTTATATTAGATACAATGCCTTGAGACAATTAGCAGACGCAGTACGTCTGAATTATTCTTAGGTAGGAAAAGATCGGGAAAAATCCCCAGGTGACTGACTAAATTTAGGTTTGAAATAAAAGAGAGGGAACTAGAAATTCCCCCAAAGGAGTTAGAAAGTCAATCCATAATATCAATTTCCTCCCTGCTGGAGTTCGATTATTAATTTTTTTTTGCTAATTAACTAATACGTCTCCGTTGACATTTTAGCTGAAGCGGTGAATGGAAGTGTAAAGTAATTCGAAATAGCCAAGAAATTTCAATCAGCTTACTTCGGTGGCTAAAATTTCTTGGGCTCATTGAATTTTTTTGTGAATTTCAGGTAGAGGAAGAATTTGTAATTCAAAACCCATATTGAATAAAGTGATGTGGACTCTAATAATTCCTGCAATATTAAAAACAGCGCAGCTAGCACAGCCTAGCTGCCTTCACGCTGAGGAGGCATCATTGAAATGGGGTAATCATTCAATTCAAGTAACCGCGGCTGATTGACCTCAAATATACTGTGAACAAGAAATCACATTGGAATTTAGAGGGAAATTTAAACTTTGAAAAATTCTAACATCAAATCGGAAGTAGGGGACTCAGCGCAACCGGAATTCAAAATAAGATCACTGGTGATGTGGATTCTTTATCCATTTCAAATTAACTCCCAAAACACATTTTGGGATAGCGTTTTCCAATAGCGCCCACTATGGTCACGGTAGATCAGACACAGGAAAAAAAGCAGGAAGAGCTGCAGCTCAAACTGCCAGGGAAAAAACAACGGCTTTTATACAGTTGCAGATTGTGAGTGATTGACTGCCTGCCTGGTTGGTCCTTGTTGTAGAAGTAAGCAGTACAACAGTCGAAAAACCTAGCCCAGTAATGCATGCAAGTCGGCCAAATGAGATGTCACAAAAGCGAAACTAAACTGTGTAAACCAAATGACAGTAAGAAGGATAGTTGAATGCAACTTTCCCACAAAATTGGTTCAATGGTATCTTCGTACATCCCAAGTCGTGATGTGAACATTTCCCCTAATTGGCTTGCGAAGTTTTTTACATCCGAGAATGAAATTTCACCCAAAAAAGGTGATTAATTCCGCTTAGAGCACCTAGAATTTTCCGATCTTCTCCCTACCACAAATAGACTAAAATTTACAGGTTCCTTTTCCGAAATGTTAAACGAAAAAAAAACGAATCTAAGATCGTAAGACATAAAATGCGCAAAGATTCAACGGTTTCAGACATAAATGCACTACTGTTGAGTTCTAACTAAATCGAAAGGAGAAAGTGGAAATACAGGCCCGTTTCAGACGACATAACCATTGAGCATTACGTGTGCGTATGTGTCTGAAATCGGCGAAATAATAAATGCGTCTTTTGGGGATTGCGCACCAAGTTGATTTGGGTTTTATCCCACTTTTTCCCGTTCGAAAATGACCAACCTATTTTATTCTTCTAAATATTACCACTTCGTGCCGGACGGACTCTATCAACCAATTACAGGACCTCATCACCTCAATAATACACTTAAAGGAGTTGAATAACACCCTTTCACCGAATAACGCTGATATCCCATGATGCAATAGCGAAATCACAAGAAATCAGTTTCAACCCAACTAGCAGTGTGGGTAGGAATGGTACTTTGAGAACCATAGAATCCCCTCTGGATGCTAATATCCATTTATAAGCAAAGTGTAGGTAACAATAATGACTAGATAATGTGCCACCTTAGTGACTGGCAAAAGATCAAACTTGGTCACAAAGCACAATTTAATGCACCCTCTGTACTTGAGCAGTAAATGAAACAGGGCAGGGTAACTCAAATAGCTTTCGATTAGCCTCGTGATATACTAAGTGGAAAAAATTTTTAATTGCTGAAAACAAATTCATAATAATGCCGGGACAATTATAGCGGAGAATTGAAGACCATTATCATAAAGTTCATTTTTCTATGGGCATAACTACTATACTACGAAAATAATTACGAGGTGGATAGAGACAGCTATATGGCCTTTAAAACTCGTAAAGTTCTGAAAAACTGGTTTAGCACCACGAATCAGGAATGACCTGCTAAAAAGTTCGGGAATTAGATTAAGATATTCTACCACATACTCCATATTCGCAAGGACCCATTCCATTCGAATATCACCTTTTCAGGCCAATAGAACATGGCCTAAGAGACTTTGAAGAGAGACGAGTGAAAAGCCTCTTGGATAAGTATTTTAATAAAAAAAAACAGCTTCTACTCAAAAAAAATTGATCGAAAACTATAAGATACATGGAAAAGGTTACAAATGATGCACATAATTTAAATATGGCATTATTGTGTTGTTTTTAAAATGTACGATTTCGTATTAGTGGCGCCACTTAAAGAAATAAAAAAATAAATGGCTACTGAACTTACCATCAGTCGGAACATCAAGAACTTCCAAGAGATTGGCTCCACCACCTTCTCCCACATTGCTAGCAGCCGATTCATACTCCGCCAGAGCCCAGGTGCGCAATGTGGAATCCCAAGATCCAGTCATCAATTCCAGGCTGCCATAAGTTTCCAAGCGGGGAGAGAATTGTATGGAGGAGATGGGTGACCCATGACCAGAGAGAACGCAAAGCAAATCACCAGTGCGGGATGAAAAGATGTAACCGTCGAAGGAGTCCAAAGCACCAGCAGCAACTAACTCGCCAGTTGAGTCAACAGCGAGGCAGGAGAATTGAGCTCCTGTACTGTTGGGTACTGACATTGTTCGAAAGTTACGATATCTGAAAAAGTAAACATATTTTTACTACTCACATCTTTTGCCAATTAGGTCGTTAATGGTAACTTCCAAGTCTTTTTGGGAAAGTATTAACCAAGGTTCATATCAGGGGAGAGGGATAACACAATGGAGAAACCCAAATTAAATCATAATTTTGATTGTGTTGCGATAAATATCACACCTGAGAGCTTTTATTCCGAGGATGAACAGATTAATCACTGATGCACCATTAATACAAATTCAGGAAACCTATTAGCCTCCTGCATCAGAAAGTCACCAGTTTACATCAACAGCAATTAAGTTCCAGCAAAGTATAAATGGGCGTTCAAAATTTACCCAATTATATTAGGTACACATCTCACCTTACCAGTGAATGAGAGAAGGTCTGTGGTTGAATTAGGCTATCGTGACCAAAACATTCACCAATTTCACCTCCTCAAGTGACAATATTCAACTTTCTAGAGGGAGTGTAATATGCGTAAAATAACTAGGAAAGCAGTCTACTTAAATAAAGCAGTTACTTAAGGATGCACACAAAGAATGTCACTAATCATTTGTCCTCTATATCCGATATCCTATAATTATTACAACTACTTAGTTTTTATTAGTAAAAGTGATTATCCAACCTCGCTCACCTGTTTAAATCGAAAGCTCGAATGGTGCCATCCAAACTAGCCGATACAAGAACCTTGGGTTTCGCAGAAGGGAAGGCCACTGCGGTAACAGGGGCAGCATGTTCATGGAATGTGACAACCGCTCTGCCACCAGAAGCGACACGCCAAAGACGCACTTTAGCATCCCGTCCTCCAGTTGCAATTAACTGGCCGTCTGGTGAGTAAGCAATTGCGGCCACTTCGTTGGCAGCATGTGAAGAGGCACGGAGATGGACGCTGCGACTACGCCATTCCCAGACGGCTAGCTCTCCACCACTTCCACTACCACCTTCTGAAGCCATTGCAATCCAGTCACCCGCAGGGCTGATCACTAAGGAACTCAGAGGATCAGAAAAAATTCTAGAAAAAAAACATTAATGAGTTACGAATAAGGTTTTTCCAGTCATCATTTTAAGTACACAAGACGTTAGAGGGCATACAAGTAGATCCTTTGCTCTGACATCAATAAGCATAACTTAGCTTTATCATCAAAGAGGCTGGAAGAAATGAGCATAAGGTTGCATATTTTATAGATATAACTGAACCATTTTAAGAATAGGGAATTATAAAAGAATTTAAGAGGAAAATCATATTCTTTATAGAATGAGTGAGATGGCTAAGTGTGACCGTGACTAGTGTGTCAACACAAGGGAAGATCTTGACCACTAGAATTAATGTTATTGTGATCGAGTTTATAACTAGGCAGGGATGAGTTATGAATACAGATGGACAAATTTAAATCAGAAAACAATTTAATCAATTTAGCAATCAATCTTCTAGCATTTAAAACAAATATGTTGATAGCTGTGGAGATATCTGAACTGCTCTCAGATATCTGATATATGTATACAAAGAAAAATAAGAATTACCTTGATCTATCAATAATGTTAAATTCTGGTAACTGATGCAGTATAACATTTCCGTTATCAAAACCAGCAACAACAATCTGCAATTTGCGATGATAAACCATAGAGGTAATTTCTTCTTGAATTCTTTGATGCTGCATGTTGCGATAGAAGTGCTTTTTGACAAGTTTGAACGTGGCCTTAACCGTCTCCTGCCCACCTTCCTCAACCTCGTTTTTGACGTCCATATCCCTCAATTTTGTATCACAATGCCAAATTCTCAATTCACCATCAGTGCTGAGAGTAAAGCAATCCAAACTATCATCACTGCAAAAACGGCCATAAACTGGACCGTTGTGGCCAGAGAGTGTGTAAATTATTAACTTGTCGCACTTTTTAACTGAGAGAATTCGTGCCGACTTGTCTTGACAACCGGCAATAATAAACCTTGAGTCGGATGACCAATCGATATTGGTGATAGTATCTCCAAAGCCATAGAGGAAACGATACAACTCGAGAGAATTTGCACTGCGATTTGGTTCTGGTGCAAGGAAGACCATGACACAATGATTCTTGGAAACTGCCAAATATTTTCCATTGGGGCTGAAAGCAACAGCTGACACAGGATGACGAAACTTGTAAGTATTAATAACATTTCCAGAAATAAGCGAAACGAGGGTGCCATCACCATCTAGAAGTAGAAATTATACACAAATGCGCTTACTTGTATTTACAGCGAATAAAACAGGTAATATGGGTGACACAGTTACATGGGTCAAGTTAAACTGACTGTTAACAGAAATAGTACGTGCTTCATCTCTAAGCAAATGGTAGACTGTTACTTGATTTCCTACGGGGCTTAGAAGACAGGAACCGTTTTGAATAAATTCAAGATTTCCTGACTTATATACAGTCCCAAATAAATTTGTAAACTAAACAGATAATATAAGATAAGCATATGGTACCTTAAAGTTTAGCTTCATTTTGTCACGCTACAAAAATAAGGAGAAACCCAGAAAACGTGAAAGCACCAAACGAGCCGCACTATTTTAAAAGAAAATAAAACAAAATCAAGGACGCAGGCTTTCGCCTTTGAATACAAATTTATTTATATTAATTATTCAATTGCAATTGTTAAATATTAATACACTAATATTCTTTATATATATTTTATTATTACTACCGAATTTTTATATCCATAAGAAGACAACATTCTGGATAGATTCAAATTGCATCAGATATCATTTTGATAGACATGACATTTTATTAAAAATTTTTAAGAAATTTGAAATTTAATTCATTAGATGAAATTGATATTGCTGTTTTAAGTGAAATATTAAAGATTTAATTCGGTGGTAAAAATCTTATCTCTGATTGTCAAAAGGTCTTTTTTCAAGCTATTCCTTTAAAATATCGAATACAAGTGTATACAAAATTTATAAATTTTATTAAGTCCATTATTAAAATTGATTCGCTAAATGAGCCTAGCCAAATGAGTCATTTCGAACATTTATGCCTTTTATTGATCATCAAATTAAACTTATGTTGGAAGTTTGTCATTTTAACAGTTTATTTGGGTAATAAAACAATTCCCCAACCGACTATAGTTTACTTCGAACTTATTTGTTAGTTAAGCTATGCTAAAGCATCTTCGAACATACCATTTAATATGCGGACTTCGCAAATGGCCTAATAATACATGGGGAAAGTGATAAACCGCAATTGTTGTTGAAAATTTAAAATGACGTTTGATTTAATAAGAACAAATGGTATAATTAGTTCATAGCCACAAATTCACTTACTTATTCTTGAAATCGTAATAACTTAAAACGGGTTAGGTATTTTTAGCAATTCGGTAAGTCAGAAAGGTCAATTTTTTGTTCCATTAAAAATGTTACATTTCTGCTTATCGCGTATCTCTTAGTATGCTTCACATCCAATTTTAAATTAAATATCGAAGTCCGTTTGATTTCTAACTGAACCCAAGTGGGAGTGTACGCGAATGGAAACTAAATCGTTTAAATGAATGATTGCATGTAGATATGTCATGTGTTGTAAGATTCGCTCTTTAAATGGTCAGCCAACACCTAGTGTGTCAAAGAAATTGCACTGATTGTCGAAATATATATATCAGTAAATTCCATATATCTGACTAATGCCCATGCTCAGAATCTTACATAATTTGGCTTGTTCACATTCTATAAACCTAAGGTAAAGAAGTTAATCTCATTACAATTGAATTAGAGAAATGGACATTAAGGTTTGAAAAATTAAAAAATACTTAAATGCAATAATAATTTTCGAGGGTTAAGGACGAGATATCGTTTATTTCTTCCTGCCACAATTTTTCCTCTTTGTTGTATATTGAAATCTAAACCAATACTAAATCGCCTCACCAGAATAATACGAATTATCTTGCTAAGTCTAATATATCATAAGAACAAGTATTGAGGCTAACCCTAACTATATGTGTTGGAATGGAAATTGCAAATGGGCAGATAAATGAAATATGAGTCGGTGTATCGTAAGTGAAAACTGGCTTGTAATAAGTGACCAAATTACGATAAACTGAGTAAAATTAACTTCTGAGAGTCAGGATATCTTTGTCGGACCATAAAGTAAACTCTCTTTAAGACACGACCGCTTGTGGATGACTGACCTCTTCCAGTCCTCTACGTATCTAAATTGTCAATATTAGGCAAATGGTAGTCGGTATAATATAAAAGGTAGTGACCCAAAAATGATACTTTCTCTAGATCTTTCCTGAGTTTTTAGGTACTTGCCAGCACGTTCAATGGGCACTCAATAATGAAACCTTTTTAGGGATCAAAATTCGCTATAAATATCTTGAAATTTCGAAATCTATGACCTTCGTGATAATAAACCAGCATTTATCAAAAATGACAATTGAGCTGTGTTAACCCAAGTAATTTTTTATTTGTTTTATATTTAGAAAAATGATTTTACGTTCCTAATGAGAACAGTTTGTAAGAGTTGGAAAGTCATCAATGATGCGTTTATTTGTTGATAAATAGACCTTCCCCAGTTTTATTAGCGTAAGTGAATAAAACGTCACTGACACGATCATGCCTATAAATTAATAATGACTTTGGGTCGTGATCTGGTAGCGATCTAAGTAGATGGAGTTAGCTGCCAAATAAGTGTAAGTCAGTGTTAATTTAAGCCATGAATATAGTCTTTCCAAAGGAATTATTTCGTTTGGACGAAGATTTCGCTTATTTGATGATGACGCTTTGATCTAAATAATAATTTATTACATAAATAATTGTAATGTTAATTTTATGGGACTTCTGTTTCTCAGGTAATGTTGAAAGTGGTATCAAGGAGCAAACAAATATCCCCTTTCATTAGATAAATTATGACCAGCATTAAGGTCATAGTGCGTACTTTGTACTTTAAACTAAAGAAGCACAATTCCTAAAACGAAATAACGTCAAATTGCATAATTTCTTAGTTAAAAACTTTTAATCTGATTCATATACAAACAATTGCATCAATATTATTGAGCTGTATGTTTGTTGAACAGTTGATTATTACGATTTATTAAATGCAAATTAGTAAACGGTATTTATATGAACAACTAATCAATGAAAAGTGATCTGCTATCTTTCACACGAACCTAAAAGTATCTATAAAGGTGGAATGTGAAATCAAATATCTTGGGTGTTTCTAAGGTAAACAAATCTATCTTTGAATAGCGAGTTGTGCTGTGTGTGAATGAACCGGAATTAATGGTAAATGTGTCTCGGCGTCGAATTTCTTGTGCGTGTGAAGAGACGCAGTACATTGGGACCGAGAATCAATGCCGGTTTAGTCGAATCTGCATAGTAGTGCTAATATTCCTCCTACAAACCCGTAGTTATTTGCATATGACCAGGCTATCAATAAAGTGAATGCTTACTCTTACAAAAGAAAGCCTACATTTAGAGTTGTGTGGTGCTATGAGAGAACAATACCAGTCCAAACAAAGTCTTTTAAACATTAATAAACCCGGGAATAATCGGTCTGCGTCACTGATCATATGGGTTTGTTTATAAAATACATTTATTTGAACTATGGCTACTGGCATCTAACTATATTTTATGGGGACCTTTTAGCATCTTGAAACACGATGACGTCTCAATTCATCAATAATAAACGCGTGCTTCTCCTTTAATACTCTCAAAACTTGAATTCAGATACATAAAACCGTAGTGATTTCCAAGCAGTTATTTTTGAAAACATAATGAAGTGATAGATTTCGATGTCCAGGAGTTACTTGGGACTATTAATACCAATAATTAAAATGTAAATAAAAACGCCACCTCAGTCTCCGAGATCTGTCGAGCTGGGATTCAACTTCGATTGCTAATTAAAATAAAATATACTCGGAAACAGAGATGAAACTAGGGTCAATCTTCCAAATGCTTAACACAAGTGCATTTTAAATGGTACAAAATAAGTGAAAATATTTCTTAATGCTCTCATGCTTTGAAAGTCTGATTTGTTTTCATTCTTATTTTATTTTCAAATTTTTTATATTAAGCTATCCAAGCTCAGTTTATCTCATTTTGCCCGACATAATGGAGCGACAAAATTGAATATATTAACTAATACGCAATAGGCTTATTTATTTTTAAAAAGTCCACTCTGATCAATATTTTACTCATAATGCGTGCCATTACCATGGATCCAGAGTAAAGAATTTCAGAGAGATAAAGTAATCGTTATGTGTAAAGAAATCATAATTTCCTGTGATTATATTATGTGTGTTCGAGACATGCATCGAAGCTTAATCTCCGCAGCTAATGATACGCATACGACAATTATCACTAATTCGCTCTAGGGCCAGGATTTTACGCATCTGGTGAATCATGCCTTGACAAATCTCACATCTGGCTCTTTCTTAAAGCCACCCTCAGGCAAGCACGCAATAAATTCACTCATCTAAAAATTATGGCAAACAGGAGGCAGTGTGCATGAAATCGATTGAAGGTTTATGTGTTGAAGAGAGAGTAAAGTTTCGCTGTTATAATTTAGCAATCATGTGTGCATTAGGAAGAGAATGATAGGCACTTACAGTCGATCAGAACTCAAGTTTCCAAGATATTCCATTAAAATTAATTATCCACTGTTCATTTAAATAGTAAGAATAAAGCTGGGATATGCACAGTTGTGAATGACACCTTTTACGGGCTATATCCTATCTTAGACGACCAGCAAAAAATCTACAAATTAGTGCTAGAGCGTATTTTACTGTCCAACAAGAATGGAAAGTATTTTGTGAAATAGGGGGGGGGGTAATAAAAAGATAACTTAAGAAAATTCTGGGTTCGTAAATATGGTCACAAATCAAATTTAAACTACATTCTCCTCATGCTAATATTTTTAAAACATGAAATTTCCAAAATTAATAACGCTTTATAAAATTACACCGGTTAAATTTAAGTCGACTCTCTAGATAGATGGCATTTTTAAAACCTGAGGAAAAATATTTTCATTGAAAATCTGTCAATTAAATCCGCTTTTAGAGAATTATTTGTTGCCTTAACTATTCACAGCTCAGATAAAAGCACAACAGTTGGCTTTATTGATTTTAAGCAGAGGCATGGATGACACATGGCAGCGTAGGATTTACGCACGTACGCCTATGTGCGCGTAATTCACCTATCAGCATCAACCCATTGGTTGGTACTAGCCAATCGCTGCTAACTGGCGAAACGGCACTTTAAAAGCCACGCGCCAGCAACTCCTCTTCCAGTGCGTAAATTCGCCATCTCCCTCGTGCTTCGTTTGCTTTTCGAGGACTTTTAATACTCTCAAAATGGTATGATTTTACAAGCAGTATTTCTGATCTCTTCCTTTTTTTAGCGTGAATGTATTAGCATCCATGTTGGTCAAGCCGGCGTTCAAATGGGCAATGCCTGTTGGGAACTCTACTGCCTAGAGCACGGTATCCAGCCTGATGGACAAATGCCAAGTGACAAGACTATTGGAGGAGGTGATGATTCTTTTAACACCTTCTTCAGTGAGACTGGATCTGGAAAACACGTTCCTCGTGCTGTCTTTGTCGACTTAGAACCAACTGTTGTCGATGAAGTTCGTTGTGGAACTTACCGTCAACTCTTTCACCCTGAACAACTCATAACTGGGAAGGAAGATGCCGCTAATAACTACGCTCGCGGTCATTACACCATCGGAAAGGAAATTGTTGATCTTGTTTTGGATCGCATTCGCAAATTGGCTGATCAATGCACTGGTCTTCAGGGCTTCTTGATTTTCCACTCTTTCGGTGGTGGAACCGGGTCTGGTTTTACTTCTCTTCTTATGGAACGTTTAAGCGTTGACTACGGCAAGAAATCCAAACTTGAGTTCTCAGTCTACCCAGCTCCTCAAATCTCTACTGCTGTTGTTGAGCCTTACAACTCAATATTGACCACACATACCACTCTGGAACATTCTGATTGTGCATTTATGGTTGACAATGAGGCTATCTATGATATTTGCCGGTAGATTATTGATTTTTGTTTTCTAACCACCCTCTATCATTCTAGACGCAATCTTGACATTGAACGTCCAACCTACACTAACTTGAACCGTCTGATTGGCCAGATCGTCTCGTCAATTACAGCATCTCTACGTTTCGATGGTGCGCTCAATGTCGATTTGACTGAGTTCCAGACCAATTTGGTGCCATACCCACGTATCCATTTCCCACTGGCCACTTATGCTCCAGTTATCTCTGCTGAGAAGGCCTACCATGAACAGTTGAGCGTTGCTGAGATCACAAACGCTTGCTTCGAGCCTGCTAACCAAATGGTAAAGTGTGACCCTCGTCATGGAAAATACATGGCCTGCTGCATGCTCTACCGTGGTGATGTTGTACCCAAAGACGTCAACGCCGCTATCGCCACAATTAAGACCAAGAGAACCATCCAATTCGTTGACTGGTGTCCAACCGGTTTCAAGGTTGGTATCAACTACCAACCACCCACTGTGGTTCCAGGTGGTGATTTGGCCAAGGTCCAACGTGCTGTCTGCATGTTGAGCAACACCACGGCTATTGCTGAAGCTTGGGCTCGTCTGGATCACAAATTTGATCTCATGTACGGAAAGCGTGCATTTGTGCACTGGTATGTCGGTGAAGGCATGGAGGAAGGGGAATTCTCTGAAGCTCGTGAAGATCTTGCAGCATTAGAGAAGGACTACGAAGAAGTCGGAATTGACTCTGTTGAAGCCGAGGGCGAAGAGGAAGGCGAGGAGTACTAAATCGATGGAACCATCGTCTCCATTCACTCTAATTTCATCTTTTTAAGTGTTAATTCTCTCATTCTTTTTTTCCATGTGCTTTTCGTGTTAACTTCAGCAAAGTGGCTTAAATGCACTCTTTAATAAACTCTCTGTGCATTAGTATCACCGCTCTTGTGCACTAAAATTAGTCGATGGGGGCGGTTGAAATGATAGTAAGAAAGTGGTGCCACTAAGGTTGCAAATTTTGTAATAAGGGTGGTATCTGCATGATTAATGCATGAATTACTTTAGTTATGGTGTACAGTTAAAATGTTTACAAATGCAAAAAGGCAATTGGAGTGATTGCAAGAATTCAAAATATACATTTCGACTGTTGAAAGAAGTTTAAATTACACAAGAGTTCAAGCTTGATAAACTTGCATATTGTCATTGCTTTTAAACCTATTATTAAGTTAGTTTATATTTACGAGTAAACAAGGTCGATATTTGAAGTCATGAAAATGAATTATTTACGAGAAAGGACAAACTCATTATGAACATCGCAAAAATACGTGATTACATAATTAAGTTATCTCTATTCAACTAGTAAAATACCCTTTGGTGGGCAGTGTTGCTGTTGTTACTATAATCAAAACCTTCTTTTGTTAATGAAATATTTATTAACACACCATAATAGTCGTCAAAAGAACAGGCTATTCCAAAAGTGTACCACAAGGAATAAATGCATCAGTGAGTTAAACCTTGATGTTACTTTCAACCTGGCTTGACCTGGTCAGATAAGCTGCAATGCTCTGCGCCAACAAACTAGGTGCGATTTCTCAATCCAGAAGTGTCATTTCTTAAATCTACCTTTCAAATTAGTTTTTTTTTGGAAAACATGACTACAAGCATGTCTATCAATGGTAGACTTTGTTTACAAATCTGAATTTACTTTCGTTTATGTTCACCAATCTCCTAAGATAGGCTCGAACTAATTGTATTATCTCAATCCCCTCAAGAAGAGCTACCCATATACTGTTTTTCTTTAATTGAAATCCTCCAATTCCACCCTCTCCCTCTCAGCAACGATAACAACTTTCAACTAATTTGGATCTTTGTTGTTTAACTTTAGCTGATAGTATTTAATCATCTAGAAGTATCAGCCACCGTTTTACGGACACCAAGAAATGATTCATTCTCCAAGCACCTACTGAGCCACTTAATGCCATTTTTGCCAGCTTCAATTGACATATTCCACAAATGTCTTCATGTGGAGACATCTGCTTACAAGACTTATTTGTCAGAATAGTGGTTACGCAATAGTAGTTAGATGTCCTCCTAATCACTGAAACAAATCTTTAAATTCTTTAATTCGCATAAGCTACAATTGAAGGAAAATTGTTGAATATTTTAAAAATTTTGCACTCTCCGCTAATGGAATCATTAGACCTACATCTTTAACGACTCATTAAAAAATTTAAAGAATTCAATGTCAAATTTTGTAAGTGCTTTATTAATTTGTGAATGAGAAAACGATGTGTCCTACATTTTTCGAATATACGAGGTGGTCAAGATGAAATTGGCAGTCTCGTCATGAAAGTGAAAAAGTGGTCGGTAACTATAATGCATAACAGGTCTAAAAAGGATTTAGTTGTTAAGGTACTCCTACTGCTGTCAAAGAGTTATACTTAAAATAACCGCAACAAGTGGGGCATCACATCAGCCTCAACAGATGAGGTCGCACATCCCAAGTCTCATGTCTGTATGCAGGTAAGACATCATTTATTCTGCCAGTTATGCTTTTGACCTTGACAACAGTTTTTTTTAAATTGGAAAAGAACCTGATTGTCTGCGCTTCAGAGGGATGCCAAGCTTTGCTCAGAAATTTCTTTGCCTTTACAGACCATTTTCGTGATCCTTATTTGAAAAGAATTGACCTCTGTGAAGCTAGTATTATGTTGTAGAAGAGGTCCTTATTGTAAAGAATAATCTACTCAATTCACTATGGTAATATTCCGAATGCCGATACTAGGGTGCTTCAACCCTCTAGGACATCACATGACAATTTTCAACTTCATAGCGAATTGTTTTTGTTTTTTGTTTTTTTTCACTATAACAAAAGTTCTTTTTTTAAATGATTCAGCTGGATTTAGTCATCCATTCGCGTTATCACCACGTGCGTGAATGAGGATTACTTTTAACTTTCAGAACAAGAGTAGTAAGCATGAACATCTTGGACTTTCTTCCAGAACACACCTTACTTCTATCTTTAGGAAGTCTGAGCGTAGCTTTAAAAAGAATATAGCTTTTATTGGGCACTAAGATGAAAATTCATATGATTGCTTAATGAAGCGAAAGCTCTAAAGCATATCTTTTCATCAGGTTGGCATCAGCATGGTCTTTAGCAGGGTTAGATTCAGGGTTAGATTTAGCAAAAATTGCAAAGATTAAGTAGTGACAAAATTTTCCAAGCTTATTAAGTGGAGATTTGTGGATATGATTTGGTAATTTGAAAATTATCTTTATTACGAGCATATAACCGATCAATGAAGGCGCATTAAGAAATCCTCTAGAGATGAGACCTGTAGCACTCAGTTGAAATAACATTTTGGCTCGTATTCTAATACCGTCATAATCGTTTGATAATGAGTCTTTGTTGATTGCGGACATAACCTAGTTTCTCCTTTAATTTTCTCTAACGAAAATTATATGTGAAGAAAGTTTTCAAGAAACTCTACTTAATTTACAAATCGAATAGTTCCAATATCTTTGATCTCAATGGAAATTGATTGATTGAATTAAATTTTATTTCAACTGCAGCGTATTCAGTTTCGGTATTTATTATATAACTTTTCATACTTCAAATCCTTACTCCTGCATCTTTCATTTATATAAATTCCTTATTTTCATTCTTTTCAAGTCTACTTATTACAAATATATTGATTTATTAATAACGAGAAGGGAAGCCTTTTTAACAGAGTTCATACCTTTTTTTACGTCAATCCAAGCCGTGAGACCTTAAAATTGAAGAACTAAAAGCTTCTTCCGCATAAATTAAGGTCAAATTTCTTTGGACTTTGGAAGTTTTGTTTGATCTTGTTTTAAGGAAAGAAATGAGAACTTTCAGATATATTTTAAAGAGAAAATCAGAAGTTTGAGGGATAAATCTTGAAATGTTCCTCTTCCCAAGGTGAACAATTTTCAAGATTGAACTATTTGGAAGTAAGATTTAAATAATAACTCGATATTTTTATATTTCCAAAGAACGTGTGCATTCATCATTTTTACCGACTTAACCTACATGGTTATCTTCCATAAATGAGTGTTAGGGTTAGGTTGATGGCACCTTTTAGCTCCCAAACAAGTTCTGAAAAACATCTCAAATAATAATTCTACCGATAGGGCGAATTGTAATGTTAGATTGACCACGCTAATAATTGCATGGAGAATAAAATACTTTTATTGCCATTCACCATAACCCTGTTGCTAGAGTTACGCTTTAGGGCTATTCTCTCCTGTTGCTAACATTGGTCGCTAGTTTTACCTGCGACAGCCAAGTGCTAGTCATTCTCTTCTCTCCCTATGGCAACGGCATGGAGCTAGTGCAACCCTCGTGGACATTTACATACGCAAACAAAACACTACGCTAAGCTCGCATGCCACAACTGTGATTCATTTAACTACGCGCGCGCATGCGAAATTCACTACTAGAGCAATCGATAAGACTGCAACCAATCAGGCGATTCCAAATGCTTACTTCAGTTGCGAATGCGCGTTGACTAGACAAACGCTATTGGTTGGGCTCATTGCCAATTTGCTGCTTCTCTCTCCCCCTCTCTCCTGGGATTTTAGACATTCGAGCTGACTTTTCTTGTGGATAAGTAATAAATAGACGGTCAAAGTACAGTATATAGGGCATTATTGCTTACAAATTTATGCCTACAGTGGCTTGATAAAAATCAGAACAAAATTAAGCAGTTTATTTAAGGGTGATTTTTTTGTCAGTTAAACTATTTTTAAACTTACAGACATAAATATAAATGCAGCAAGTCTACCTAAAGCTAGCATGGGTGTACACCATAACGATTGTTTCGGAGTATTTCCTGCATTTATAGCTCATTCCAATTTATCTTGATTTCTGCTTTGTTGAAAGCGCCTTATGAGCATTTCATCTACCAATAAATGTATTGAAAATAGGCCAGCACATGCAGCAATGTTAAGCCCATGAAGCATATACGTGCCGAGGTAAAAGTAAAGGATTAGTCAGAAGTGGTAGGGGAATTAAGTTGACTCATCATATTCTATTCCCCTGTTCTTTCCTCAACTAAGAAAAATAGACTGGCTATACAAGTTATGCTAATTGTGTAAGCGGCATCAAAATGATAAGATTATACAACTTTGAAAATATTAATGATAGTTATTATTAGTCCTTGAGTTGACTTCGGTCTTCACAGTGGGAAAGAACATTAAAGTCACAGGAAATTGAGCGGAGAAACAGAAGGGAGATTCATAATTGTAAAAGAGACAGACACAAAGGTAAAGGTCAATTATGACATACAGGGGGGGGGTCATGGTGGTTTGAAGTCAGAAGGCAACGGCTGGATGATATGCTCAAACGGTAAAGAAGTCAATGTTGCTCAGGGCGCACCATGTGAAGGCAAGTCTATCGCTCGCTAAGACTTTTCATAATATCAAATTTTAACTTTTAACCCATCGAGCTTTCAACCAGGAAACCGTAACTGCAACTCTGTTAATTCCGACGAAAATATTTATTGACATTTGAAATTATGGAAACTAATGATTCTGACATCGCAGTCTAATTTAACGAGGAACTTAAAATGATTTTATATGCATTGATTCACACGAAAGGAGAATTTACTGAAATTGTAATTTCAATTTCTACGGATATAGCTGTACTTTAATAGTTTGTTTTAAAGTTAATACTTTGACACTTAAATCATGGTGATTAGTACCTCATGGCTACTATGTTATCTACCGCAAGACTACCATATCATAAGCTCTAAAAGATTTTTACCTGAATTTCTGAAGTTTATGGAATGGAAATACCTTCACAGAAAAGGATCACTAGATACGAGTTCTACTAATATAATTTAAGTAAAGAGTCTTATAACAAATAGTTTGATTGCTTTAAAACATTTTTTGCGAATATTCTACATCTCAAATATGCCCATTTTGTATTATGGAGTACGTACTCCTAACACTATTAAAATACGCAATCGCATAACCACTCGAACATTCTGGAATGTGGGTAGTGAATGTAGAGACCTTTCAGCTAGGGGCTAAATTTATTCAATTAATAATCATTTAATAACACGCAATAAGCGCTATACTATACTATCCGTTCTACTTCCTTTGTACTTTCAAGATAGCTTAACTGCCTTCGGTAGAAAGTTTATTGGGGAGGGCTTTGGCAGAAAGCATTTTTGAGGTACCAATTCTCCACAAAATGCTACCAAGCCTAATGTCGATAAAAGCTCACGAATAATTTTTTTAAACTATTTTCTTGGTTATCACAGCAACTAACATGCTGTTTTGTATATGCACAGAATTTCGAAATATTTGAACATTTCCGTATTAAAAATGCCCAAAATAATAAGTCTTCACTGTTTATCCATTTAAAACATTTCCATTGAACCAAAAGCTGGTAAATAGTCATTAATAATTATGGTATATAACATATCGATAGAGCAATCGATTTCTTATCTATAAAATTAGCTACGCTCATTTATTTGCATTGAACAAGCAAAAGGGTAAAGTGATCAGAAGATTCGAAGCTAAAATAGGCATAGTAACGTTAATAAATGTCTCTACTAACCAGGAACCATATCAAATGTGAAAATGGTTGTATAACTGATTATACATAGCAAATTTGTATTAATTTTTGCTTAATAAAATTCTGTGACATCTTTATCTCCACCATGCTGTTATAATATGGGGACGCGTATTTCCTTTCACTATTCCTTAGATCATTATATTACTCTTTTATAAACGGTCAATCGTAAAGTGCAAGCTGAATTGTGAATTCTCTTTTGAGAAATCTCATTCATAGCAGAAAACAGAATATTTCATATGTAGCTTATAAAATTGCAGATATTGTAATCACTCATTTAGAGTTATGCTTAACGTAGTCACTTCGAGCTGGCTTTTTTTCAGAAAATAAATAAATGACATCTGCCAGATATTGATTAGGGTTAAGTCAAGATGAGATTTGACGGAAGTTAAAAAAACTCGATACAACATTATGTTTATCATACTAGGGTCTAGTTTCACAATGGCTTGGCCACAATGATGGGAGTGGAATGCCTAATATAGTGTGAGGCGGAATTCGGTTGATCGTCAGGAAAGTTCCACATTTATATCATCTGCCCTAGATGAGGGAAGTAAACGCTTTCCGAAACGTATTTTACAAACGAATACTATTATAATTTCGGAAAACACGACTGAAGATAATGAGAAGAGAATTTCTGAATGCAAAAACCAAATCCAATGCCCGAATAAAGTGAATTCTAAATAAATAAAATTATATGTCCGTGAACTTTAGATTATGGGTTCTATTTAGTTGTTGGAAGGGAAATAATCGGATAACCAGGTTTATATTATAATAAACAGAAAAAACCAAGATTTATAAATCTGTTTTTGAAATGTTAAAGGTGCTATAGTTAGTCATAAAATCGAGTTTTCTAATATTACTTGTCAAAAAACTTACGGCGTAATTAGGATTAATATCTTTAAGGTAAATTAGATAATTCAATCCAAAATCTAAATATATTTGTCAAAAATAAAATAATTATTTTAAATATCACTATATTTCTACTTTAATATGCATTGATTTTCATATTTAGTATCGTTAATACCATCATAACTTCCATCACTTCTAGTGGATCTCTTTGCTCTAGTGCGCCATAAAGGCGGGGATCTCGTAAAATGCCGGACCTGTTTAGGCCTGAAGACCAGTTCAGATGCTGCATGTACCTTCATGTACGCACCGGCACTATCGTTTTGGGAGTACTTCACATCCTCATACAGTTGGTGGTCGTTTCTACACTTCTTATGGCCGCTTTGAAACATGACGTTGCGAGCATTAAATCACCATTTGGGCAAAGTATTACTAACTGCCAGCCTCAAACCCCGCGTAGGATTTATCATGCTCTATCATATTTTTATTTAATCTTAATTATATCTATTCTTATTAATTTTTTAGCAAGAGATGTATTTTACATGCTCATGCATATCGTCCCAGGCTTTACAATATTCCACCAGTCCCATGCTGATTTTGCACGACGATTTCAAATCGCAAACTTCACTCATCGTACCACTCTTGAAGCAATTCCAAAGGATTCCAGGCCTGATAACCTGTTTAAACTTCTAATGGGAGAAGTAAACGATCAGTCTAAAGACAAACCCAAGGAAGCGGTGATTGAACAAGAGCCAGTGGCAGTTCAAAAGAACAATGAAGTTACTCCCACTCCCTCCCAAAAATCTGATATTTTGGAAAATTTTAAACCAAAAGCACCAGAGTTGCTAAAATGCTTCGAACGCCGCTCTAACACCTATTTCTCTCTATGCCTTGCTCTAATATCACTTGCTTTTGGATACTTACTTGTTCATGGTGTTATTTCTCGTCAACCCGCTCACCTCCTGCCATTTTTCTGTCTCCAAGTCTTTGATTTCGTTGTTGCTCTAATCTGCATGCTTGGGTATATGTCATCAGCGTCTGATATCAGCCACTGGCTAAGAATGAAAATCGCCGATCAGGTTCGTTCAATTTTCTCTTATTAATAGCTATTTTAGACATCATTTATGACTTTAGATATGTAAATTAGCTTATCATCTTAACTCATGTAAATCGAACACGGAATAAGCTAGATAATTCTCCGAGTTTCATATTGCCGTTATTACTCTGGGGTGCTGACCTACACTGTCATTTTTATCAAAGATGCTTTTCAAGTCATGCATGAAGTAGAAATTTCTCATTTTGTCGAGTATGGTTTCACTCATCATTGTCAAGCGCATTACATCCAGCGAGTGGTGCTAGCCTCTGTTTTTTACATTTTACAGAAATCAATGTCAAATCGTAAATTGAACAGTTGATCTATTGAAAATCATGTAAGGGTTTTTTTCTATTCTGTCAACGGGACCCATCCTTCAGAGTAGTTTGCCAGTGGTCAAAGGAACGATAGCTTATATTGTTAAATGGGTTCAAATAATGAATTGTTTTTCCCATTTCTCAAACCATTTTTTTCTAAAAATTTATATTTTCATGTATAAAAAGCATTAGATGGTAATGTTTCTATTCAAAACCTATCACCATCCTACTCACTAAAATTTTATCGACCCGTTGAGATTTTTACTGAGTTCCATTAACCAGAAGAAGTGTAAGTTTGTTTATCGTGTTGAATTTCACCTAAATGTGGCCTGGCTGTTTATTTGTTGTGCGCTTTACGTGCTTCTACTTTCAAGGTTAGTTTAAATGACCTTGAATAAATAACGCACCATTTATATCGGCAAATGTAATCTCTTCGCAGTTTGCACCAGCTAATTTCTAAGTCATTTTACGAAACTACTTCGCTCTACTTAAGATGAGCGTTAAGTTAGGCGAAGTTTCTGTAGATTACTTATCTTTTGGGTACTGAAATATATTTGGTTAATTTCTGGTTAAAACAGTAGGTTTAATATTTCTGCTTTCTATTTATGGAGTTTTAAAATTTTCATTAGGACGTTTAAAGCTTGCCTCTATAATATATCTATTTACTTCTTTGGACTGACTCAGATATTTATATTTTTAGGGTAACTAGCTATTCTATTTAATTATTGGAATTTATGGACAACGTTAATAACCTAACGGATTCTTACCTTCAAGTTCTTTGTCTTAGTTTTAAAACACTTATTTATAACAAATGTCAGGCTTTTTTTGTAGTTATCATTAGCCCTTTAGAGTTGGATTCTGGCTTCACAGAGGGGAGAAACATCAAAGTTACTATAAGTTGAGTGGAGGAACAGAGGAGTGCTTTTCGGATGTAACAGAGAGACAAAGATAGGGAAAAGGGGAGGTAAGTACTGTGGAAGTTGTCGAATATGACATACAGTGAGGTCATGGTTGTTTGAAGTCAGAAGTGAACTGCTCGTTGATAGACGTTTTTGTCCTATGAGTATACGTTACTCAGGGTGCACCATTTGGAGGTAAGCCTATCCCACACCCCTTTTTACTCAATATAGTATTTGTAATATGCTGAAAATAGCTTAAGGAATGCTACCTTTCCTACGCAATCGAATTGATGCCCATTTGCGAGTATTTTGAGTATCGTACAAGAAAATTCCTTCATGAGAGGTCTTTCCCTGGTCCTCCTTTACTATTTATGGGTATTGAACGGAAATGTTTAAATGAACCTGGAAAAAGTAGTTAATGTTTTTGCTTGATAGTTTTGAAATTGTCCTTTTATTTTGGTTTCATTTATTGAATACTTGAATTAAGGTTGCCAATATCTCACTCGGATAAAATTTATTCGGTTTTTTCCAACAACCTCTATTTAAATTGTCACGCTACTTGTCAAAGTAAATAAGATGGGTGATCATAGCAAACACTCTTGACACTATGAGAGTCGCTGATTCATTGAACACTTGTATCTTTCTAGATAATCCATTTGTCCTCTCTAAGCTCACCAAGATAGCCATACCTTTACTTAAATTTCTTTTCATAACGTTTGTTTCCAACTTGGGGTGTGCGATAGACTTACCTCCACGTGGAGCACCCTGGGCAACGTATATTCATACGGCAAAAATGTCTATTAACTGGCAGTTGACTTCTCACTTCAAACTACCACCACCTCACTCTGTGCCATATTCGACTTTTTCCACAGTACTCTTCTTACCTTTTTCTACCTTTGTGTTTGTCTCTTGCATCTTTGAAACACTCTTCTGTCCCCCCCTCTCGACTTTTTTCAATTTGATGTTCCTTCTCTGTGAAGTCTGAAGTCAACTAAAGGGCTAATGATAACCATTAAGACGCCTGCCATTTAATATAAATAAATAAATGTTTCCAACTTTCTAACACAAGGAGGGGGTATCGGCTTCATCAATTCGCTTAAACTCGACATCCGTCTCTCTGATCCTCATTTCCGCCTCTTGCCTCATCCTGGCCTTCAAAGCTTACTGTGTGGGTATGGTATGGGACTGTCACCGCTATCTCCTTATCACGAATCGTCATGGCGGCATTCTACCTCCACCCTCCGCCTCCTCTAACTTCATTCCACGTTTCGCCGCTTTCACGCCCTTCTTCGGTCGTAGGCGTGGTCCTCTTCTACTTATCCATCGGCGTGGGCGTGATTCGAGTGATACTAGTGGTGACCTGCCCGATTTAAGCACCTTTGATGGGACTCATGCGGGTGTATTCGTGGACGCCATTCCTACTGAACCGCCGAAGGACTCGGGTCTACCCAAATACGAGGTTAGTTCTGTTTGGATACTGTATTTTCCCGCTTTTATAGAGGTCAATGTGAATAAACGGATGTGATTTGCACTTTCCTTCAAAATACTGATCGTTTATATTTTTTGGTCATTTACCAAATAAGTGTTATTAGTTCCGGAAAGAGCAAATCTAAGATTGGCGTTGCTTTCGGGACCACGTATTGCTCTATCATTGTTTCAGGTTTCAATTTCTTAACCTGCATGAATAACGTCCTCGTTTAGGGCAGCCACTTCGATCTAAAATGCGTTTATTGGTGTCAATGCCACGTTTCAAAATAGAGGCGGAATTGGTTATAAAGTGAAAAGTAGGCACGGAAACGTTCAAAGCTCACAATGCTCATAAATTAAACTCTCAAAAATATTAAAAGTTTCTTCTCTGCTTTTTTGAATGTTCTGGTCCCGCCTCCCCCCCCCCCCCCCCCCCCTATTCTGTCTAAAGCTGACTCCTGTGAGTCGACGATATCCTAGAAAGGTTTTTATTCCTTTTTTCACTTTACTGAATTGGTTAATGCCATGGCCTGTTTGTTCGGTTACTCTTCCTTTCCAGTCGACGAAAATTGTGCTCTCTGCTTACCCTGTGCTTTAATACACTTTCGCCAAGTCAAGGACCTGCACTTCGGTGTATCTTCAGTTACCCAACAACTGACCCAATCACTTGTAACATTTGGGGTAGGCCTTATGGTACTACATTAAAGAATATTTCCATTTAGTTACCCTAAAAATTATTTTGATTTCATTTACTTGAATTTTTTTAACTAAATTATTTTTTTTTCAGGGTTCAAGTAAATACTCTAAGCCTATGAGTAAGACTGACGATTCCATGTTTTAATTTCTAATGCTACCTTCGTATGGTTTTTGTTCTAATGTGATTAGGAATATTGTTGGCGCCTTGCCTTAAGTTGGACCTGATCGATTTCCCACGTTATGAGCTTGATTGGTTCAAATGTAGGTGGACTGAATGCCTATTTAATTCTCGTTACTCTTTCCTGGACTTTATTAATAATTTAACAGACACACAATCGAATTCAATCAATGCTCATTGAAAAATTGCAGCGGCTGGGTTGTAGTGTGAGGTCATCTAATCAAACCGAGGATAGATCGTTTGTTTAATGAAGAAATTAGATCACCTGATTGAGGTAATCTAATAGTGTAAATTAACTTTAGGTGTATCGTGTGCTTAATTTACAATGTTGATTGGTTTTCCGCCTCTTTTTCATTTACCAATAGCTGCAAGGCAAAACAGGGCGACATTTTTTCTCGCGAGGAAGCGGATTTCGAACATGGAGAAGAGTTAAGCGGTACAATATAGGGTTAGGGTCTGGTGATCCAATTGAAGCCTTGAATTAAGTCAACGTGTTGAAATGCTTTATAAAATTGGTTTCAATATGTGTTCCTTGTACTGACTGGTAAAAAGTGTGCTGCTTACTCTCATGCTCCTATAATCAATTTTTTTATTTATCCCCTGTAGATATCTAGGGGTTATTTAAGAGTTGATTAATTTGAATTTCTGGCCAACTACTTGAAGCACTTTTCTTCTGATTGCAATGATACTGACGTCATAACAAAAGCAAATATGAATTTTGTGTTATTTAGATACTAGCGCTCAATTCTATCCGCAATTCTCATTGAGCGGTTAACTACGATGTTTCGAGACAATACTCGAGCGGAAATCGATTTAGGGAAACGTGTAAATTATCACCTAACTAACATTTATATGGTGCGTATTTTAGTGAAATTCGTCTAATTTAATTTTTCATGTCATATAAATTCGATGGGTGTGAATGACATAGAGGGTACTAAGATTTCATCCTAGTACTCTAGAATTTTCCATCTAAACTTTCGTCATCTCTTGAACAGCAGTTTCTTCCACGGAATATAGAAGGTCTATTCAACAGTGGAAACTATATGTGATGGCCCTTGGTTTTGTTTCAACCACTGGTCTCTTATTCAAGGTGGCATTTACGAATATTTGTTTCTTTTCAATACACTTTAAGAGTGTGGGTGAACTTTTGTGAGCTCTACTCTCTTTGAAATATCTTATTTAACTTCTTACGCCTGTAAGAAAATACAATACATGTTTTGTTCCTAACAGGAAGCGCTAAGCATTCCGGCCAATGCGTTCGCACCACCACCATATTTTGCAGCCAAATCCTCACTCGTAGACACAGGAGTAACAGTGCCGCCAATTTCCACGAGCATCAAAGAGGAGTCGGAACGGAACGCGGAGAACAACAGTCCTGGCACCACGCACACAGCATTCAAGCCAGACTTTAATGGAAGAAGGAAAGACGACGATTCGTCAAACGATCCTAGCATAGTCTAGACTCGATGCCTCGTTCTCTTCCATTTTTTGCGTGATGTGAATATTCATCAAGATTCATCGTCATCATTTTTATCCAGAAAAATAATTTCTTAATGCCCCATCTCATAGTTCCACACTTGCCTCGTACCATTTAAGAAGTTAGAGGAAATTTAAAAGAAGATGGACCTAATTGCAGACCTAAGTAAGCAGCTTACGTGTGCATGTTGGTAGCGGTCTGTGTGTCTGTGGGATTGATTTCTTACTTGCTGCCACTCCGCCTCTTGTCATACTTTCCTTTGCACTTTGCGTTTGTTATAAGCCCACTCTCCTCACTTCATTCTGAAAGCGGCATATAATCAATACATCTTATTTCATTTATTCGGTTTCCTATTGGACTTGTTACAGTGGTCGTTTTTTAAATGTTTTCATGGGGTTATCTGTTTCTTCAGACTTGCCAGTGCTAGTTGAAACTGTGGTTGCATGAGATTTCGATATTTCTTGCTTTGGTCGTAGTTGTTTTGGTGGTGTAGATATACTGGAGGCCCGTGTAATTCGCAGGTTCTTGAATTTTATTATTTGATTTTTTAAATGCTTGTTAAATGGAGCTTATTCCGAACACTACGATCTAACAGATATGGGGAGATTTGGCACGGTTGTTAAAAGTATCAACTTGAGTTCACTGGTAAATTTTCTAACAGTTGAATTAAATTGTATTAGGTAATATGCCTACGCTGTGCTAAATGTTTAGGTGAGTTAGGTGATCTTGTGTCATGCTTTAAAGAATTTTAGAATTTCATCAGGTTAGCTAATGCCATAGTGTTTTAAAAGCGATGTATTCATTATTTGGGGTCAGAATTAATGCGGAAAATTCTATAAAGCGGGGGTGTATTTTAATCTAATTAAGAATTCATGCAAGGTAGGGAATTTTAAGGGTGATAATACAATACGATCAAGTATAATATTATGAAATAGTTGTTAGGTAACATATCACCTTTTAAGTACGGCTAATATGAATGGATTATTGATAAATCAGTGCATCTTGGTAACCGTCATGAAGGGGAGGTTGATGATATTTTGAACTCTTTTTAAGATTCAAAATAGTCTTGGGGGGTTATGATGAGAAGTTTTTCGTGACTAACTAGCTCACTTTCAAGTGATTGGATGAAAAAATAAAATTAGGGTCTTCGGTAAATTAACATGCGTTGTGCCTTCATCTCACTCCGGGTCAAGGTCTAAATGGTTTTATTCTTAATTTGTTAGTCTTAAAGCTAGATCAGTTTGCACGTGTAAGAATATGTCAATCGATTTCGTTCTGCCCCCATGGTGCACTTCTTGCCGAGAAATCGACATGCTTATTGATTGGTTGATATGAGTTATAGATGGTAAAAGTCAGCGGTTTTTCTCAAAGTGCAGATGTCACAGGCTCAATTCTCATCGCTGTACACCCGGTGGTTTGAGTGACTAAACGTATTGATTACCTCTACTTGACACAGTGCTTGACAGAGTTGTAGCCTCTCACCATGGTCGCCTTGATATCATTCTTCCCACGATGAGCGCTTAGAAGTAGGCTTGGAAGCTTTTCTCTAGCTGTGTAAACAGTGAGCAATCGATTTTTTCCTAACGGTGTTGACCACAACTGGATACAGTGACTTCCTGGAGGCTGTGTATTTTTCATCTCAGAATCTTAGCAATTTCTTTCATGTAATTGCTTAAGAATTGAATCTGAACGGTAGTAACGAAATTATTGAACACATTGTTTAAGAATCCAAATAATTCAATAATTATCAACTAGCCTTGCCAGCCATCAAGAAGAGAATGCGAATATCATCAACTCGAACGTTAGGCGTCCTCTCCAATTGTCTTCTCTCAACCACCGCCTAAGTAATGCAAAGTCGGTTTATAGGTGATCACGGGGTTCCTATTGCCCTCCTACTCCTACATTTCCTCTCAACTCAAGCCGGGAGTGTGAAAGCATAGAGACTAATCTTTAAGTTCACACTCAATTGTTGCCTTAGTCGCATTACGTGAAAACCTTGATCAATTTAATGGTACATTGCATCACGTGATTTTTAATAAACAGTGCGGTAAACGAGATATTTAGAGTAATAAGAATTTTAATTGGGTAAGTGGCTATAGTATGTTTATTCTAATTGATAGCCAAGGTTTTGGTAGTGCAAGTTCAATTTTAATTTGCATTAAGCTTTGCACATATATTTTTTGATTATTTATGCATTTATTTTGCTGTTGGAAGCATATTCGTGGTAGAAAATTGCCTAAGCTGTCATCGCGCAAAGGTTGATCAAAGAAATCTCATGCGCACCCAGACAGACTCGAAGGTGCGGCGTGCTACTCGTCGCGTCGGACGCAAGTTCGATCGTGAGCCTAGAGAACTATCAAACCGGCCACCAATCAATAGTCCTTGCCCGGTTTAACAAACCCTCCATTGTATTTAAATGACTCAACTCATTTGACTAAGACATCCCAAATAAACGCATTTCATGTCAAACGTCTGTTTTCTCCAAACAAGGAGATTTTGCTTGAGAGAGAGAGAGTTCTGAGCATAAGTCAAGACTATTTAGTGTATTAATCCTCAACAAAGCTTCATAATCGTGCAATTTAGCGTGCTTGTTGAAGCATTTGGGATATCAATAAGAAGCATAGTATTCAAATAATACTCAAACATTATTTTGTAAAAATTATATCCACTGTGCCCCTTGTAATATAATTTCGCCGTCATTCGCAGCTCCTTCCCATTGATTTAGTGGTTTTCAGATCCCCTTTTGAAAAAAACACTATCTGGTTTTGAAATGTAAACCGAAGTGAAAAATCTCTTCAATGGGTATGGAAATTCAAGGTAGTTTTTCTCTATGAGTAAGCAGAGGTGTGCAATAGACTTGCCTCCACGTGATGCACTCTGCAACGTATATTCATGCGCCAAAAAGTCTATAAACCGGCAGTTGACTTCTCACTTCAAACTACCATCACCCTCCCTGTATGGCATATTCGACCCCTTCCTCAGTGCTCATCTTACCTTTTCTTTGTCTTTGTGTCTGTCTCTTACCTCTGTAAATTACTCTTCTGTTCCCCTCTCGACTTTTTAGGTCTTCGATATTCCTCCCTTCTGTGAAGCCTGAAGTCAACTAAAGGGGTATTGATGACTCTCATAAAGCCTGCCATTTGATATAAATCTTTGAGTATGCTCCATGGCTTTGAAAATGTAACAATCGGATGGCAAAGTCGGGGTATCAGGAGGATGTGGTATATCCTCCGAGACTTCATCAGTATATTTGTGGAGGTAATTTATTCCTTGTAGGACTGATCGAACTTTGTCATGTTGAAAAATTAACCCTTTCACCCAGTCAAACAAACTTGCATGTCAAGTCTTTAGTTCCTGGTTTAATCTACCCAATTTTTGACAACCATAAACTTTGACTGCAATTATTTTGACCGGTTTTATCAATTCATAATGAATTGTACCACGTACAATTCCCCCTAAGCACATAGAAGAAGTTACCAAAGAGTCAACCCTGGTTAGACTTAGGGGGGTAGAATGTACGCTTTATCAATTGACATTCATTGTCTTCGTACACAATCCCTTCTCACCGGAGATGATAATTTGATGGGGAAAAGAGTGAATTCTTTGTTGCCAAGTGCACAAAGAAACGCACCTTTTTCTCTCCTTAATCTCTGTTCTACTGGGATTGAGAGCGGCGGTAGCTAAATTCCCATCCTTGCCAATTTACTGATGAGCCTCAATTGCGATTGCGCAGTTGATCATGGACTTGCGAGCTTCTGTGATAATTCTTCCATAGTTAATCGAAGATCTGAACCAAGGTGAGATTTAAAAATATTGCCAGTAAATTTATGGATCTTCTCGATTTCTGAACACCATTCAACTTTCCATTACCCATTTTAAATTGTTTTAGTCAATATTGACATTGACGGAGTTGGACACTTTTAACTGTGACAATAAAATGTTAGTTATTGCTCATAAATGCCGATAAGCCTACGTGATTGTTCTTTTCTCCTGCCCTGGGTACAAGATAAACTCAAACATCTGTCTGCTAAATGCGCGATTTCTTATTGGGACGCATAATATAATTGCTCAATTAGAACACGAAGCTTCGTCATATTTGTCAGAAATATGAATTGTATTTTTTTATTATTTTTCTCGATATTCTGCTCATTAAAGCACTAACTACTTGGAGCTAACTCGTTCAAATTTGATTAAATGGTGAATAATTAAGCACAGTTTTTGACCGAATGTTCAAGAAAATTCCAGATCAATAGCTCTTTTTATAACACATTTTGAGTACTATGGGCTGCCGGGGGGTGGGCGTCATGATTTTCCAGAAAAGGCTATGATTATGATTGCGCCAGCTAATAAAAATGGCTTACTTATCTATTCACTTATGTTCTCCCCTTTCCAAGGAAGCCCCACCAAAATTTCAATTTTCATCAGATATTAAAGAGAGACTTGACCCCCGGAATGGAACTTTTAGCCTCAACTATCACTTTTTCTCCTTTACGCTATATCCTCCTTCGCTAATAAGGTCCTACCCTTTTCACACCATTTACAACACCTCGTCTAGTAAAAAAATAAATAAACATAAAAGCATCTGTTATCTTCATGAATTTGAGTTTATCCTTAGTAGAAAATGTATGTTTTTGCTTGCTCAGATAATTAAGAGCACCTTGTGAACAAGTGTTGCTCCATTTGGCACGTTCAATTTCACAAAATTAGAAAATAGATGAAACTATTAGTCATGACGGTGTCATAAATAAATTTACGCATGCCTAAAAATACACTGAAAAATTAGTTCGGTTTCCGCAAAAGAAAAATAAAAAATAATCAATTGACACCAAAATAGTTTTAAGTAACTTGGGCAATTTTGGCAGAAATGATTCATTCCTGACACAATTGTAACTTGCAATTTAGCTACACTAAATAGTCTTGACTTATGCTCAGTAATCTCTCTCTCAAGCAAAATCTCCTTGTTTGAAAAGACTCCTAGGACTAT